AAAATATTTTAATTAATTAATAATTAATTAAAGCTACTTTTGGAAGTGCATAAGCTGTCATCATTAAAAGCAATCAGAATCACCTGTGTACTTCTGTAGATACGTTTTGGTTCAACTGACTGTTTTATAACATATTTCTTCATCTTACCTATTTTTCTAAGAACTTGCCATTTACGAAAAGTACAATGGACAATACAAAAATTAAGGAGAACAAAGTCTGAAGAGAAAAAAATTACATCTGCACATCTATTTTTCTTGAGTTACTTACACAAGAGCTTAATTTTTCCCACATGCACTTATTCAGCAACTGTTCCATTGATGGTGTAGCTGCAGAATTATGCAGTTTTGTCAATGACACTGTACCTAGGCTGTCACAAGGTTCTATAATCATGCTGTCCTATCTACACTATCAACAAAAAACAGTATAACGGTATAAGCACTTCTAGATACCCTTGTGTCGTTAAACATAGAAGACCAAATTCTATTGTTGGCTACACGGATATAAATATTGAGTAACTCCACTGAAGTCTATGGAGTTATTCCAAACTTACAGTGGCATTACCAAGAGCACCACAATTTGGTCCATTATCTAAACAGGGCCTTGACATGACTTCTCTAAGGCTCTGTGACATCCATTAGTTTGTCTATCATGAACATGTTCCATAATCTATAAAATCAAGCTGTTGGGATAGAGAGCTCCTGTTTGCTTCCAACTTCCTTCCCAGCTGCTATTTGAAAGTGGAATATTAGTCTAGAATTTCTGGTTCTACAACCTAATTTCAGGCAATGCTTTTAACACAGCTCCATAATTTCAGGTCCTTGGACTAGACTTTCTTCTGGGCAGTGATGACATGTGGCCTCTGCTGCTTGGTTTATCTGGTGCTGCTTCTATTCTTCAGTTTTTCCTGCTCTTATTGTGCCCAGAAAGCCCTCGATATCTTTACATTAAACTAGGAAAGGTGGAGGAAGCTAAAAAAAGTAAGACATCAGTTCTGTTTCATTTTTTACATAATACAAAAAATAATACACCGTGGTTGCTTGTGGAGTTCTGTTTCATTTTTTACATAATACATAAAATAATACACTGTGGTTGCTTGGAGCAGTGCCTGGGTGGTTACTCATTTGCTTAGCAGTGGGTCTTTGTTACAGTCCATGTATGAGCCTTGTAGGATAGACACCAATATGTGTATCTATTCACTGAATAATGCACACTCCATCATATGTTATTTATGTACTTAGCCTGATTTGCAACACCGACAATCTTACATGAGATCGTCAGTGTTCTTGCGGAAATTCAAGCGGCCAGTGTAGACAGCTGGCAAGTTTTTCCGCAAAAGCAGCTGATTTTGCAGAAAAACTGGCCAGTCTAAACACAGCCTCCATGTATGAGCCTTGTAGGATAGGATAGACACCAATATGTGTATCTATTCACTGAATAATGCACACCCCATCATATGTTATTTATGTATATAGCCTAATTTGTCAAAATTTGCATAAAGTGGAACACATCTTAGTGGAGTCTAGAGCTATGTGGGAACCAGAATTTCACGTCTGGGGGGAAATTTACTGTTTTGAAATTAGTTTACACGTTGAATTGGCATGAAAACAAAGAATTTCAAAATGTTTCCACAAAATGAAATTTAAAAAAAAAATCCTTTCATGTCAACTGATGAAATATTTTTATTTTGACTTGTTTTGGGTTTATGTTCTGAACTTGATCCCAAGAATATTGGAGTCAAGGGGAGACTTTACAATAGGCCAGCTGTCCATATTTTAATGGAAATCTGTGCCTAAAACTTATAATATAAATACATTTCTAAACCAAAAGTAGTTTTGAAGCATAACGTGATGAGTTGCTTCATTTCATTGTCATTTTTAATGAAATTTTGTTGTACTTAACCTGTTCTGACTATGAACCTTTTCAGTTTGATGAATCAGCCTTCTCCAGCAGACAAACATGCATTGATACATCATCAACCACCTTTAATGGAACTGCATCTCATGGACACCTCTCCTTTTCCAATGCCGCCTGCAGTTGCACAGCATATCTGTGGGCAACTATAGAAATCACTTTTATGCAGTGTGGCTGGCTCTTCCTCCCTATTTTGAGCTCTTTCTATAGGAGACGAGCAGTCCACATAAGAAAACAGCTGGAAGTAGAGAGAAGGAGCAAGACTTCTATGACATTTAGGGTACGTCTAGACTACAAGCCTCTTTTGAAAGGGATCGTCTAGACAGTCACAAGGGTTTTGAAAAAGCGATCTGCTTTTTTGAAAGAGAGCACGCAGGCAATCTGGATGCTTTCTTTTGAAAAAGCCCTGTTTGTGTTCAAGAATGCCTTTTTTCAAAAGAGCTCTTTCAAAAAAAGGCGTTCTTCCTGGTAAAAATAGGTTTACCAATTTCGAAAAAACTGCCGCATTTTTTCGATTTAATTTCAAAAGAACGCATCGGCAGTCTAGATGCAGGTGAAGTTTTTTCGAAAAAAGGCCATTTTTTTCGAATAAACTCAGTACAGCCACTCCTCAAGTTGTGAACTGTCAAGTTACGACCATTCGCACTTACAACCAAAGCTCCCATGGTGCGGTCGTAAAGGCAGTCCCCGAGTTATGAATGCGACCCGCACTTACGAACAGCGCGGTCACATGTAACTCAATGGGGTCCGAGTTACAAATACTTCGAGTTACAGCCAAGTGTTTGGTCTAGAGCTATGTGGGAACCAGAATTTCACGTCTGGTCTGTGTTTCACGTCAAGTGTTTGGTCTGTAACTCGTTCGTAACTCGGGGAGAGGCTGTAGTCTAGAAACATCCTTAATTATAGGGTGACCATTTGTTCCATTTTTAATGGAATAGTCCCATATTTAAACCCTCTTGCAGTTGTCCTTTTTTATAAAATGGGCAAATTGTCCCATATTTTCTCCTCCAGTGCTTCCCCCGATGGTCAGTCACTCACCATCAGCACAACCGAAGCAACATCCTCTTTGTGACTGGTAGATGGATTCGGCACTCTCAGGCTGGGTGCAGAGGCCAATCGGAGGAGAGGCAGCCCTATATGTGATAGAAGGGTAAGGGTGTAGGGGTGCATCAGAGGGTTGTCACCCCTTCCCATGGGCACCCTATTTAAGTACTCCAGAGGTGCTTTGTAGACCACCAGTTGTCCACAGACCATAGTTTGGGAACAGCTCATGTACACAGTATTGTTAATTCTCGTTTGGTGATTTACCCCTGATATTGATTGGAATGGTTTGCTTCCTAATGTACTCCAGTCCTTTGCTATTTCCTTTGAGATGAAAGCATGTTCTTTCCCCATAAGGCTTGAAAAGGCTCAGAGGAGACTGTGACCCCACGAAAGAGCTTGCTGAGATGGAAAAGGAAAAACAAGAAGCTGCCAGTGTAAAGAAAGTCTCCATCCGGCAGCTTTTCAGTTCTTCCAGTTACAGGCAGCCAGTCATTGTGGCACTGATGGTTCAAATATCTCAGCAGTTTTCAGGAATCAATGCAGTGAGTATCCAAGTAACATGTGCCTTTTAAAAGAATTGATTCTGATTAGTATTGTAAGGAAAATTTGAGTCTATAGTGGTCCTTTGGTAATTTGCAAAAGAAATCATCACTGAAATCAGTGGGGTGGTATGTATGAAATGAAGCTGTTCTGCTGAAAATCAGATTGCATAATATGTGTTTGGTACAAACATGGTCCCCATCACTATGATATATAAATATCTCACAATCTTTAATGTACTTACCCTGATTCTCGCAACACGCCCCGGGCAGTGCGGTTATCCCCATTTTACAGATGGGGAATGGTGGCACAGAAAGATTAAGGATATATCTATACTTAATATACTGCAGCAAGACTCCCAGCCTGCATAGACAATCTCACACTACTTCTGTTTGAGCATGGACATTGCATTTTGGATGGCAAGTAGCTGACCACCCCAGGCTTGAGCTTAGGTGGTGAGCCCATGTCACCACCAGAGTCGCAATGTCCACACTGCTGTTTATAGGCTGCTAGTGTAACACTGGCAGACTCCAATTATCGATGTGCAGGACTGAACCTGGAACCTCTGGAGCTAAATGCATGACTGTCTACTGCAGGAGCTAAAAGCTACCTGGTGCAGCTTAAGCTGTCAAGCAGACTCATTAATATCGCTCAGCGGTCTTGGTGCCACTAGACAGGATAGAAGATTACACCTTGGAAGTATGTGGGTTCACTCCGAATCATTTCCCTGCCATTGCTGGAGCCTCAGGCAAGGGAGTACATTGGTCCCTCCTATTCTCTCTCTGTGACGCATAATGGTCTAGTCTCCTGTGAGCAGTAATATTTTATTGGAGAGATTTTCAAAGTTGAGTCACCAGCCCAATTGGATAGGTTGCTGGCTGGCTGTGAGACACTTTATCTAAGCATTCATAGGCAAAGACCCTTGCAGCTCCCATTGGCTGCAGTTTGCCGTTTCCAGCCAAGGAGTGTTGCGGGACACAGCCGCCCAGCCTGCGCCACTTCGCTCTGTGCCTACGGATGCTTAGATAAACAGAAGAATCTTGCAGCCTGCCAGTGGCTTACCTGGGTGGGCCTGCAACCCAACTTTGAAAACCCCTTCTTTATTCTCATTTCTGTTGTTGGATTTAGTGTGCAGATGCTGGGTAGCACAGCTAGCCTGTGCAGTATAGGAAACCAGACCAGATAATCTAATGATCCTTTCTGGACATAATCTCTACCTGGGCTGAGAGGGTCCAAGCTGAGAGGGTCCAAGCTGCCCTGTAGACATACCTCAAGTAATTTGCCCAGGGCCATACAGGAATTCTGTGGCAGAGAAGAAAGGAAATGGGTCTCCCATAGACCAGGATAGTGCTCTATTTACTGCACCATCCTTCTTCTCTTCCTACAGTACAGTGAAGGGGGAAATTCTGCTCTGGCAGGGGAAATGGAGTAAGTGACCTACCTATTCCCCTCCCTCCAGCTCTAACATCAGTGAGACAGGAATCACCTTCTTGGAGAGAAAGGAAAACATTTCAATTATTTGAATGAAGGAAAGTGTAGTAAAATTAATGAAAAATCGGCCATATAAAGGTTTGTTTAGCATGCAAAAAAAGCTTGCCATTCTGACAAATTGGCTTTCATGATAAAACCCATAATTATATGGAGGAAGAGCAGGTTTTGTTGTTGTTTTTAATGTATATAATCAGTGGTTTAAGGTAGGAATAGGATTAAGTTCCTTTGAAATTTCTAATCTTAATTACTATAACAAACTGTTAACAAATAGTTGAAAAGCAAATCATAATTGAATTACTTCAAATCTCAGCCAAGCAAATGCAAATCTTCCCCTGAAGACAGAAAACTCCCCAACAGTGGAATATAACCTTTCATTCTAATTTGTTTTGATAGATCTTTTACTATTCTACAAACATTTTTGTAAGAGCGGGAGTTGATCAACCAGTTTATGCAACCATAGGTGTTGGTGTCGTGAACACTGTCTTCACCATTATTTCTGTAAGTAAATACTTCTGCATTCAGTAGTCTGACAGCCCAGTAAAAAGATTTGATTATGATGCTCAAGGGAGTTGTGAAGCAAGAAAGTCATGAAGAGCTGATCCTGCAAATCTTATGCACAGGACAAATCCTTACTTGCATGAGTAATGATTGCAAGACCTGGTCCTAAAGTAGAGCAAACTGCACTGTCAAATGTACAGAGAATGAAAACTTTCATGAACCTCTATTGGTTTGTGTTTTCTGCAATAAAACTTGTGTCAGTTGTCAAGTGGACTCCTGGAGACTGAAGACCTCTTACTTATGGTCTTGTCTATAGAGCAGCTACAGTGTGAATAACACTGGCAAATACTTTTCATTTTTGCCCTGCCAATGTGCCTCGCACACTGTTTTATCTCTGATATTATCTATTATATTTATATAACACCCATCCTGGAACAAGAGGATGGTTCAGTCTTTATGGTCCATTTGGTCAACAGTCTTTCTGCCCAGAATGCCAACAGAATTCCAGCTAGTAACTAAGGGTGTGTCTAGACTACAGAGTTTTGTCGACAAAAGTGGACTTTCTGTGAGGCTCTGTGCCTACGGATGCTTTGATAAACAAAAGAATCTTGCAGCCTGCCAGTGGCTTACCTGGGTGGGCCCGCAACCCAACTTTGAAAACCCCTTCTTTATTCTCATTTCTGTTGTTGGATTTAGTGTGCAGATGCTGGGTAGCACTGCTAGCCTGTGCAGTATAGGAAACCAGACCAGATAATCTAATGATCCTTTCTGGACATAATCTCTACCTGGGCTGAGAGGGTCCAAGCTGAGAGGGTCCAAGCTGCCCTGTAGACATACCTCAAGTAATTTGCCCAGGGCCATACAGGAATTCTGTGGCAGAGAAGAAAGGAAACAGGTCTCCCATAGACCTGGACAGTGCTCTATTTACTGCACCTTCTTCCTACAGTACAGTGCAAGAGGAAATTCTGCCCTGGCAGGGGAGATGGAGTAAGTGACCTACGCATTCCCCTCCCCCCAGCTCTAACATCAGTGAGACAGGAATCACCTTCTTTTTGGGGAGAAAGGAAAACATGTCAATTATTTGAATGAAGGAAAGTGTATTAAAATTAATGAAAAATCAGCCATATAAAGGTTTGTTTAGAAGCTTGCCATTCTGACAAATTGGCTTTCAAGATAAAACCCATAATTATATGAAGGAAAAGCAGGTTTTGTTGTGTTTTTTAATGTATATACTCAATGGTTTAAGGTAGGAATAGGATTTCTAACTCCCTTAAGCTCCTTTGAAATTTCTAATCTTAATTACTATAACAAAATGTTAACAAATAGTTGAAAAGCAAATCATAATTGAATAACTTCAAATCTCAGCCAAGCAAATGCAAATCTTCCCCTGAAGACAGAAAACTCTCCAATGCTGGAATATAACCTTTCATTCTAATTTGTTTTGATAGATCTTTTACTATTCTACAAACATTTTTGTAAGAGCGGGAGTTGATCAACCAGTTTATGCAACCTTAGGTGTTGGTGTCGTGAACACTGTCTTCACCATTATTTCTGTAAGTAAATACTTCTGCATTCAGTAGTTTGACAGCCCAGTAAAAAGTTTTGATTATGGTGCTCAAGGGAGTTGTGAAGCAAGAAAGTCACGAAGAGCTGATCCTGCAAATCTTATGCGCTGGACAAATTCTTACTTGCATGAGTAATGACCACAAGACCAGGTCCTAAAGTACAGCAAACTGCACTGTCAAATGTACAGAGAATGAAAACTTTGCCTGATTCTGTTCAAATCATGAACCTCTATTGGTTTGTGTTTTCTGCAATAAAACTTGTCAGTTGTCAATTGGAGTCCTGGAAACGGAAGACCTCTTGCTTATGGTTTTGTCTATAGAGCAGCTACAGTGTGAATAACACTGGTGAATGCTTTTCATTTTTGCCCTGCCAATGTGCCTTGAACACTGTCTTATCTCCGATATTCTATTATATTTATATAACACCCATCCTGGAACAAGAGGATGGTTCAGTCTTCATGGTCCATTTGGTCAACAGTCTTTCTGCCCAGAATGCCAACAGAATTCCAGCTAGTAACTAATTGAGGTTCTCTTCATAAGAACATTTAAACAACAGGAACTAGATACAGAAAACGAAATCATTTTCTGTAGGTCTCCAAATAGTCTTCTGAGGGCGATGACTTTCACCCACTACCAGTCAGGACTGGATTTGAATCCGCAATATATAGCTGTAGCTACAGTGTAGTATATTATCACAAAGCTCATAAGCCACTCTAACCACCCTGGACAAAATTACTTTCATGAAAAAACACCAGCATCCCTGATAAAAAGGTGGTTTGTGTAGTTTATTTTGAAATTGGGGTGGGTTCCTATATACGTTCTCCTATAGCACAGGCATGTTTAGCTTGCTATCTAGTGATATTTGCTCTTTAATTCTTTGACCATGAGTATTTACATGTTATCTAAAATTTGCCAATCAACTAGAGATCCACTCTGTTTTGCTGAACTATGTTTGCACTGAGTTGGACCTTGACAAAAGGAGGAGAGATCACAATCAGAACTTGATTTCTGCAAGCCAGTGGGTTAGTGCAATGAACGCTTGAGGGAAAAGCCCCATTTAACCTCTAGGAAAACAATGTTCGTGTCTCAGGGCGGCTGCTACATAGTGCCGTGTAGGAGGCAAGAAGTGTTCCTGGCCGCAGGAAGAGAGGCCAGTCTGGGACTCGTGGGTGGAGCAAGTTTCGAGATGACCTGCAGAAATCAGTAGATAGACTAACACCTGGTATACCTTGGTATAACTATGTCACTCAGGGGTGTGATGTCTTGAGAGATGCAGCTATACGACCTAACTATTGGTATAGACTGCTACACTGACAGACGGTCAAGAATATGTGTGAGTGGTCTAAGTGCCAGTATTGAACAGTGAACATGTGTGGGTTATACATGGACTACCAATGCTCACAGGAGAATCCCTAGTGTCTACACAGAAGCGCTGCAACAGTGCAGGTACCACAGTGCAGATGGTCTGGCCTAGTGTTTGACGTGTAGACATACCCTGATGCAGCTGCACTCGTGCAAACCCTAGAATAGACCTCGTACATTAGCATAAGCCATTACTTGTCTAGTGCATGTTATCCTGGGTTGAAATAAAGATGTTAAAATGGTTAACAGTTAACTGGTTAAATTATGAGTGCTTAATCGATTAACTGTTTTAACTGAGGTCCTGCCACCTGGCTCCACTGCAGCTGTAGCCATGTGGTCCTGCCACCAGCTCCATGGGCCCTGTGGCTGGGCTGCAGTGGGCATGCACAGCTGGCCACCACCAGCATTAAGTGGCAAGGGCCAACTAGCTGGTATGCATACTAGCAAGCATAAACTATCCCTAGTTTGAAACTTACATGGTTGCAATGTATCCAGTTGGATCAAAATCCCCAATGTAAACAAGGTCAGACTAGTAAAATAGCCCCAAAAGAGGTGTAAGCTTCTCAATGGGCTGGTAAACGTAAAGGATCACTGTGGCACCTTTATCAGAGAAAAGTTCCAGTTGAAAGCAAGAGAAGCTGCATTTATGCGAGAAACAATTTAAACTGATGAACCCCATCTATACCACCTGCTTGCACCAGTGACGACAATCTATTCCAATATGGACAAAGCCTCTCTCTCTCTCAACCCAAAAATTCCGTGGTGAATCACTTTATTTGGGAAGATAATCTTCAGAATAAGAAGGATCATGGGTTTTTCTTTTTTTTTCAAATTGGAAGGCTAGAATCTATAGAAAATAACCTGTGAGAGAAATCAGTGGAGAGACCAACAGTCTTTGGAATGTGCGAGTTCTGCACATATATAGATAAAGCCCTGGCAGATACAAAGTTTTGTATCTGCATCACAACTATGTCTGCAAAAATGAGTTGTGGATATCCACAATGACACTCCCAGATGTAGCTATCTGTAGATAAAAAGTGGGAATCTGCAAATTTACTGGGTTCTAGATACATAATGGCTGTGTCTACACTGGCCACGTAACCCGTAATAGCTATGGAAATGAGAGAAGTCAGAATAGGGAAATGCGCGGGGGATTTAAATATCCCCCGCGGGATTTAAATAAACATGGCCACCGCTTTTTTCCGGCTTGGGGAAAAGCCGGAAAAGAGCGTCCAGACTGGCGCGATCCTCCGGAATAAAGCCCTATTCCGGAGGATCTCTTATTCCTACTTATTTCCTCCGGAATAAGAGATCCTCCGGAATAGGGCTTTATTCCGGAGGATCGCACCAGCCTGGACGCTCTTTTCTTGAAAACGCTCTTTTCTGGCTTTCCCCAAAGCCGGAAAAAAGCGGCGGCCATGTTTATTTAAATCCCGCGGGGGATAGTTAAATCCCCCGCGCATTTCCCTATTCTGACTTCTCTCATTTCCATAGCTATTACGGGTTACGTGGCCAGTGTAGACACAGCCAATTTGTATCTGCATTGGCATACGTACCTGCAAAAATAAGCCACGGATATCTGCATTCACATCTGCAGATGCGGATGCCTGTAGATATAAAGCAAATACCTGTGGATTTGCAGGGCTCAATCCATAGATTTGCATTGTCTTTTGTTGTGTTGCTATGTGTAATAGCTAATTAATAATCCCCACCAGCAGATATAAGCATAGTGTAAATAAAGGAACCAAAGTGAAAAGCTCTTAACACGTGGGCTACATCAAGACTGGCATGATTTTCCGAAAATGCTTTTAATGGAAAAGATTTTCCGCTAAAAGCATTTGCGGAAAAGAGTGTCTAGATTGGCATGGACTCTTTTCCGCAAAAGCATTTTTTGTGGAAAAGTGTCCGTGCCAATCTAGACGCAGTTTTGCGCAAGAAAGCCCCGATCGCCATTTTCACCATTGGGGCTTTTTTGCGCAAAACAGTTTTTACCTGTCTGCACAGGCCCTCTTGCGCAAATACATTTGTGCAAGAGGGCTTTTTCCCAAACGGGAGCATCATAGTATTTGCAAAAGAACACTGACAATCTTACATTAGATTGTCAGTGTTCTTGCGCAAATTCAAAGCAGCCAGTGTAGACAGCTGGCAAGTTTTCCCGCAAAAGCGGCCACTTTTGCAGAAAAACTTGCCAGTCTAGATGCAGCCATGTGTTAAAAGAGCAACACCATTAGCTGATAGCAGTAGTAGGCTGTTACAATCTATGAAGGCTAAGTTCTGAAAGGGGACTTGATGTAGGTTTTATATATGTGGACGGCTTCCTTTGCAGAAGGAGAGCTGCATTTGCAAGGGCCCTGCAAGAGGGGGAGTTTGTAGGGGCTTGCGCGGTCGGCGTGAGTTCAAGCCCCACTCCCATGCCTACACCTCTCTTTCCCCACAGTGACCCGCAAGGAGTGGGATGGGGGGCTCATTCTCTGGGATGAGCCCTTCAAGCCCTTTGCAAAGAGGGCAGCAAACCTGAGGTCCCCAATGCTTTATGGGGGATAAGCAAATGGAGGTGGGTGGCCTCGGTGTTATGGGTGGGTGAAGGTAGGGCTGGGGGATAAAAGCCCCCAGCAGCTAGCCCTGCCTCTTCTGCTCAGCCCCCACCCCTCAGCACCATAGGGAGGTGGGGTGGCATGCGGCCCCAGCCCCTCCACCACCACCATGGGGAGGGGTGGGTGGTGCATGGCCCCAGAATACAGGGAGGGAGGAGAGCATGCCGCCCCCGCGTCCCTGGCCCCAGTGCCCAGGGAGAGCAGGCACTAGGGGCAGCAACACTGTGCCCCCAGTATGCCTAAAGTAGGTGTTCTGAGGGTGGACCGTGGGTGGGGCCAAGCTGGCTGTCTGGGAAGGCAGTGCCTTTCCCCACCCTAGCATACCAGCTGCCCATGCTCATGCACAGTTTCATAAGCATCATCCAAATCACATGATGAACTCCCAGCTCACGCACATGTTATACCTTGCCTTGTGAGATGATCTCACACAACCTAAGTAAACTCGGATTCCTGCTTTGCTAGCCCCATACAGCTTTGATAATATTGGGATTTCTACCATAATTGACCAATCCTTCAGAGAGTGCGTTTAAGAACTTTCCATGGAGGACAGTCATTGGCTAATTTCAAGATATTTCAGAACATTTCGTTATGCGCACTATGGCAGGTATAATAAAATCTCATGCTTCAGAGCATAAGCTGATCACTACAGATGTGAAGAAGGAATTGTTCCCTAACAATTGTTCCCTAACAGGCACTGCTCAGTTAAATAGGCTCTTCATTTTCCTTTTGTAACAAAGAGGCACTGAGACCATTGACAAGGAAGAGTGAAGTCCGCTCTATAGCAGTAGCTAAGAGGTTGTCAGCTTTTAGCTCATGCTGTAGATGCACATGGAGTTAGCCCCTGTAGTCACAGGTTTAATCCCTCCTGATGATGACCCGAGTCCGTTGGCTTTACACTATGAATAATCAGGCACTAGCCTAGCTGGACCCAAGGCTTGTTGGGTCAATGGTCTGCTCCAGTGTTCCCTCTAAGCTGGGGGGCAGCCCAGCTTCACAGGTGGTTAATCAGCCTGGCCCAGTCAGTCAACTCTGTGCATGGAGCCCTGAGCCTCTGACTGATTAATCACCTATGATGCTGTGCTGCCCCGCAGCTTAGAGGGAACACTGGTCTGCTGTAATATGACAGTTCCCATATTCTTCTTATAAACATGAGCTACAAATTACAGACGTGTACATCTTCATGTTTTATAGAAGCCCTTTGCTAGAAGTAAATCTATGCATTTTGGCTCTGACCTGTCTCTAGTTTCTATACTTTGCAGTTTTTAGACTTAGGGTGGGAACCTTTGTTTGGAATTAGGGACAGGCTAGAACGTCAGACTACAAGGGATTCAGAGGTGAATGTGCATTTTGGTGGAGGATCTGAACCACTTGAGATTCTCTCCTCACTAATAAGGGCAGAATTTGACCCAATATAATTAAATATTTGTCTTCTGGCATGTCTCCACTGGGAGTTAACAAGGCGAGCATCCACACTACGGGTACATCTATACAGCAGTGTTATTTTGGAATAACTGGTGTTATTTCCAAAATAACAAAGAGTGTGTCTAGACTACAAGCCTTTATTTCAAAATAAAGTCAAGCTGGAGTACTTCTTACTCCAACTCATGGTAACCCTCATTTAATGAGGAACAAGGAAAGTCAAAGGAAGAATTAAACTATTTTGACTTCAACTACACAATTGACATAGCTGAAGTTGCTTAGCTTATTCTGACTTTACCCCTGCTATGTAGACATACCCTATCAAGCCTGTTATTTTGACATAATGGGCTTGTTATTTCAAAATAACTCCTGCTTGTGAAGAGGAATAAGATTATTTCAAAATAATTATTTCAGGAGTTATTATTTTGAAATAACTTATTTTGAAATAACCTGGTAGTGTAGACATAGTCTTCATGACTTTGTGCTTTGATACTAGAAGAGCATCTTGCTACAAACAGAGAACTTGGAATCAAATTCTACCCTCACTTAAACTAGAATAAATCCACTGAGCCTAACATATAGGTGATGGATAAGGCTATGAAAGTTATATATCAATGTAGTGTAAAAGGGTGAAATAATAGGGTTATTGAAATTAATGGCAAAATTCTCACTAATACCAATAGAGTTAGGATTTCAGCCTCTGAGCCTAACAGAATCTGAGTGTATCAGAGACTCATTGTGTATTGGTGTAAATTGCATTTTAAGATGTAATGTAAAGGGGAAGGTGGAGGGGAGGGGGGAACAACGCCAGGACATGCAGTGGAAGGGGACAGAACTGGGCAGGGACAGGTGGTGCAGAAAGAGGTGGGGCGAGGCAGGAAGAGATAGAGTGCGGATGGGAGCTTGGGGGAAAGGACCAGCTGGGGGCAGAGCCTGGGGCAGAGGAAGTCAGTAGCTCTGTGTGGCTGCACCTTGGTTTTCACTGTGGGATACAACCGCATATGTACGCTGCAGAGCTTTGATTGCAGCACATGCAGATGTATACAAGCTAGGTTTAATCTAGGTAAGTTATGTACCAATAATAGTGAAGCCCTGGCAGCACTTGCTTTTGTGTAGGCTAAACAACCCACTTGGGACCTGCTCCTCTCAGGTGGCTGGCCTTCTCAGAGTGCTGCCGTGGCTTTGCTGGATGGATTAAAACTAACTTGGGGATATGTCTACATGTGCTGCAATTACACATTCCCAATTGCAGTGTAAATACACCCTTAGTTTCCTTGTCACTCAGATTCATTATGGTCCAAAGCCTCAACTGGTGAAAATTGGCATTACTCCAGGGGCTTCACTGAAGCAATGTTGATTTACACCAACTAAAGATCTGGTCACTGTGGGATGTAACCGCATATGTACGCTGCAGAGCTTTGATTGCAGCACATGCAAATGTATACAAGCTAGCTTTAATCTAGGTAAGTTATGTACCAATAATAGTGAAGCCCTGGCAGAACATGCTTTTGTGTAGGCTAAACAACCCACTTGGGACCTGCTCCTCTCAGGTGGCTGGCCTTCTCAGAGTGCTGCCGTGGCTTTGCTGGATGGATTAAAACTAACTTGGGGATATGTCTACATGTGCTGCAATTACACATTCCCAATTGCAGTGTAAATACACCCTTAGTTTCCTTGTCACTCAGATTCATTATGGTCCAAAGCCTCAACTGGTGAAAATTGGCATTACTCCAGGGGCTTCACTGAAGCAATGTTGATTTACACCAACTAAAGATCTGGCTCAGTGGATCACATTCAGAGGTGATGCATAAGGATATAAGTTGTGTTTGGGTGAGTGGATGTGGCTTTAAAAAGTCTCCATGCACCTCTTCTTACTAAAATGAACCCAATCTAATTCAATTCAGGTTAAAGCACATACTTAGGTTTTACCCCCACTGTAACTGAGACCAGTAAATGGTTTGCTACCTTTATTGCATTACAAGTTTAATTCTGCATGTCTGTTGTTTTTACTCAGCTTGTTTGAGCAAAAAGAAACTTCTGCAGCAGCACAATAATTCAAGAAATTAACAGACGATAAAGACTATATTGGAAACATAATCACGCATTTTGTGTATTCACTTTTTACTTCTGTTTATAGACCACTTTTGCTTGGATGAGCTACGTGAGCATGGTCGCAATTTTTCTCTTTGTAATTTTCTTTGAAGTTGGGCCTGGACCAATCCCTTGGTTTATTGTTGCTGAACTGTTCAGTCAAGGACCACGGCCTGCAGCTATAGCCATAGCTGGGTTCTGCAACTGGACCTGCAACTTCATCATTGGAATGTGTTTCCAGTATATTGCAGTAAGAAAAGTTTCTAAAATATTGCGCATAATTAACACCCTCAAAACATTGGTTTTTCAAAGCAGTGTAGGGGAATGGACACACTTATCTCCTATTAAAATAAATAGGTATTTAAATCTCTCTAGATTGCTTTGAAAATCTTAACCTTTGCAATCCAAATGATAAGCAAACTATGGGTTATTATTATTTCATCACTGTTCCTTCACTTTTCCTATTACAGGACCTGTGTGGCTCTTACGTGTTCATGATCTTCGCCGTACTGCTCTTAGGCTTCATTTTATTCGCACACTTTAAAGTACCTGAAACAAAAGGAAAGTCTTTTGAAGAGATTTCCACTGAGTTCCGCCGCAAGAAGCGATCAGCGATAAAAGGATTAAAAGATGCTACTGAACTGGAGAATTTGCAAAGCAACAAGGAGGTATAAAGAAACCGCAAAATGTATGCATGAAGAAAATTAAAGAACATATTTTTAAATGCAGCTGAAAGAACCTTCGGCAAAAGCATGATTTTATAAAAACCCTACAACTGAAAAGCCAATAGGCCAAATCAGTATCATGCTTCTGACTGATATGCTGGATAGTGCATATATCCTATGCCCCTGAGACTAACCTGATGTTACATTCTAAGGGCTCAGTGTATCTTGGTGTTGTCCTACAAAGACACAGGAAAGAATGAAAGGAATAGATACAGATAGGCTTCCATGGTGCATTACATTGATTCATTACAGCAACAATTTTCATTTGATGGAAACCAACATAGGCTTATCAAGACCATAATGCAGAAGGGATAAAAGAAAGAAAAGAGGTGCTGCATGATCATTTATTCTTATGGATGGTTTTACCCTTTCTTTCCATTCCCATTTCTTCCTTTGCTAAACGATACAAAGCCTTGGAAAATCAAATGCTACTGTAGTTGTCATATCAGGATAAAGACATAACTGAAGCTGAAGATGTTAAATATAAAAGAGTGAGTGAATTTGCCACCTGATCTTAGAGTGGTGTGGCCAGGCCCATTGATGGGGAGGCAAAGGAGGGAATTGCACCTGGACCTGGTGATTCAAAGGGTCTCAGGGTACCTATCAATGCTGCTGCTGCATTAGCAGCAGAGTCAGTGGCCAGAGCCCCTGGCCCCTTTAAATCACTGCTGGCGTGCTGTGCCACGTGTTCCAGGCAGCACTAAGGACTGGGATGAGTGCACCACATTCTGGGTGGAGCTGAGGGCTGCTTGGGGGCCAGCTCAGTGCGCTCCAGGAAGTGCTCAGGGTGGGCTACCCCCAGCTGCAACCTTTCCCCCCAAGGCTCCATCCCTTCCAGGAATAGGAGCAGATCCCACCCACCCACGGGCTCAGGGGCCCGCGAAGGCTATCAGCATCCCTGAGCAAGGTGTGGCAGTTTTCCCATTTGAATTTGTTAGAATTAAACCCAGCTTGCTTTTGTTGGAATTTAATGACATAAATACTATCTGGTCCCACACAAGTATTATAAAGCAAAAAAAACCCACACTTGAGGAAAGTCTTATTCATTCTGGCCATTGTGTTTTGGGGGGAAATATTTAATTTCTCCTTCCTCTGGGTACCCAGTTTGTCCTTTGCTATGTCGTGTTTACCGCTTCAGCCTGAAAGATGATAGGACAGTCCAGGGGAGAGGGCACTGGATTAGGAGTCTGAAGATAAGGATTCTATGCCTTGCTCTTGTACAGCCTCTCTGTGAGACCCTAGGTAGGTCTTTCCCCTCTCTGTTGCTGTTTACTCTCCCAACCTGTGTTTGTCTTGCCTATTTAGACTATAAATTCTTTGGGGCAGGAACTATCTCTTACTAGGTGTTTGCATAGCACCTAGAACAATGGTGCTGTGAGCTCCATTGGATCTTAAAACACCACTGTAATCCAAATAAATAACAACCAGGGGCCAGATTAAATTGTCCTAGCACTATTAACTTCAAATGGCTTCACTGACTTCATCAGAGCTATTTACACTACCTGAGGATTTAGCTGGTGAATGGTCTACCCTTAAGGACGCATTTATTCCAGACTCACTCAGTCAAAGGTGACAGAAGAGGATTTTTAAATTCCTGGACATGAGTCTTTTTTTCTGCTTTTTTGTTTTGTTTTTTTTAACTTTTGATATCTCATGAATGTCTGTTCCTCTTTTGAGACTCTTCTAGCAAGTCTTTCACTGTAGTAACTTTAGGGATGGATTAAAACAACAGTGGGTCCTAGGGAAAATATATTTACAGGCCTCCTTAAGAATAACAAGAAACAGACATGCAGTATGCTTACTGCATGCCGGGCTGGCCATGCTGGAGATCTGCCAGTCTAGCTGTTCACCCACTTGCTGCTGGTTGTGCTGTCTTATCCATGCCAAAAGGGCAGGCGGGCCAAATTTGAATGAGTGGTGTTGCAACCCACATCCTGGTGAGCAGTGACCTGAATAGCAGCAGGACGAGCAGGTGGTCCTGATGAATCCATAGCATGGTCAGTCCA